TTTCTTAGTTTAATAAATAGCGTCATTTGACGTCCCCAGATAAATGCTATCTCGGGGTTTTATAAAAAAAAAAAAAAAAAAAAAAAAAAAAAAAACTGAAATTGAAAACTTGATAAAATCTATAATGATATCTATCTAAAAGTCAAAGACACAGCACTTTGTGCCATCTTAACTGATTTCTTTACAACTATCTCAATCATACTATAGGCCACAATCACTAGGAACCTCTCAAATTATACAAGATACAAATATGAGTGATTTATATAATGGCTTGCTGGAGAGATTCTAGAATTTGTTTTTGTTTCTAAACCCAATTTATCTCCAAAACCAGTAATAAAAGAAGTTGAAGTTACAGATAATGATCCTGTAGAGGATATGCATAGACAATTAGAAGACCTTCATATTAATCAGGCTAAAATTGCTAAAGCTATGAAAAAGATTTCTAGCAAGCCTAAATCTTCTCATCACAAAACTAAATCAAAATCAAAATCTAAAACCCAAAAAAGAAATTATCAAATCGATCAAATCATGTTAATACCTATATAATTTTAGATGAATCATCTTCAGAATTTCGTAGTAATAAAAATGATAATATAACATCTAGCAAAAATGAACTTGAAACCAATACTTAGTCATATTTGCAAAGCAAATTAAAATCATCAGAATTATCTGAAAGTGAGTCTAGTTCAAAAAGCAATTCAGAAGAATATGAAGTCAATGCTACAAAAAAAATATAAGTTTTTCTAATACCAAAAGCTCAAAAAAGCACAAGAGTGCCAAACCAAAAGAATCTTCTAGCAAAAAATCTAGTAATATCTCTTCTATTAAAAAAAGCAGTAAAGATACTAGATCACTTAAAATTCTAACAGATAATATTAGTCTAAATGCATTTTTTGCTATTTTATGATTAATGATTGATTTATTTACTCATACACAACCTAAAGAAGTATTTATTAATGGATATAATATGATTAATGCCAAATTCATTGCATTAAAAGATTCTGTTCTAAATCATTTTACTTTAAATTTCTTAGACAAGGAATAAGAAAAGTTCTGACATGAGATTACTATAGTATTCTTACATATTTTACAACCAATTTCAGATCTAATTCGAATAGCTTTCCAGCAAACTAATATACTACCCTAAGCAGCCCCAGAGGGATTGCAATTAGAGGCAGAAATTTCATAGCCCACCTTATAGAAATTAATTTTATTTGTAAAATTATTTTCAATGATGTTGCTACTATATGTTACAAGATTAGCTCACTATTAGAAAAATTATACAAGTGCCTTCCATCATGATAGATAGTAGAGCAAATTGCTCAGTTATCTCAAAAGGTCTTATAAAACTATTGAGAGCAGAAGTAGATAAAAATAAGAAACCATTTGTTAAATAGTGTAATAATTCTTTAGAGTCTTCAGGCATATCTTATAACATTTCAGTTACAGTTGGACAGAGAAAAAATAGTTGTACAATCTCTGAAGACTTTCTAGTTATGAATAATGATAAATCCTGGATATTATTGGGTACACCTTGGCTTAATCAAGGTGGATGGGAGCCTATTGTTAAGCATGAATTCAAGTTAATACATAAAGGTAAAGTAATTACTATATCTCTTTCAGTATATAGGTCGCAAAGAGAGATATTTAAACTTGACTTTTTACAAGCATGATTCAATTCAAGTATCTACTGATTCTCTAATCAGTCTAGTAAGAATAACATATATTATTAGAAAAATTGCATGCTACTGCAAGTTTTAGCTTAGATTCTGACAATTTGACTTTAAAAAAAAAATATATGAGCTATGAAGAGTTAGAAAAATTGCTATATGAGATACTCAAATCTAATACTGAATTAATCGAGCTTAATAAAAAACTACAGGCCTATAGAAATGAGTCTGATATTGAAATAGTATATAGGTTCAATGAGCCATTGCTCTGCAATAGATTGCAAACTACCCTAGAAAAAACAAAAATAGATTAATTAGAATCTAAGACTCTTTTCGTCTCATGTTTAGCTTCTTCCCTTTCTTTGCAATTTTGTGCAAGCCTATCTTGTAAGTCATTCATTTCATCTACTTTTTTTATCATAATATCAGTTATACTGACTTTATTAGCTGAAAAGCCAGACTCTGGCCTAATAAAACTGGATCCTGGTTTTCTTTTCTTTGACTTCCTATTAGAAGTACTAGTTTTGAGCATTATTTCAGAAGAAACAACACTATGTATTAATTGCTGTTTGCACAAGGATATTTCTTTAGCATGCCTCTTCCAAATTTCATATATTCTACGAGTTGAAGTACTATATTTATAAGCTATTTCCCTACATGCATTTTTAACAGTCTCTTGAGATTGAATAATTTTCTCAATAGCTTCTGGTGATAAATAAGGAGTACCAGCATATAATATTCTACAGTTATGTGTTCTATCTTTTTATAATTATAAAAAATTATCAAAAATTATTGAATATTCTAAAATATGTTTATATCTCTTATGATAAAAAATGATCAGTAATTATAGATAATTATATACTTAATATTCAATAATTTTCTAAAAAAATTAGTAATTATCTATTTTTGTTGATTATATTAGAAGTATAATTTTTTTGATGGCATTATCAGATAAGTATATTTATATCATATATATATGTTCTATATTTTGCAATTTTTTATAATATTTTTTTTATTTAATATGGCCAATATGATAGACCTCAAGAAAGAATTATATAATGCCCTCCAAGATTCTTCTGAGATAGTTTTATATAATGCTAAATTGCGGAATAAGTATGAAAAACAAGAAAAAAATTTTAACCAGGAGAGAAACAAGTAGGATCAGAATAGAAAAAAGTAGAGTAAAAAACTAGATAAAGTTGTTAGTGAGAATCAAAACTTGCAGTTTGAAAATGCTAGCACTATTTCTCTTGCTAATCCTAAATCTGAGAATATTACAAAATCTAAGAGAATTAGATTACTAAAGTCTATGATCAAAATATTGGAAAGTAAGTTATTCTCAGCCCAGAAAAATGTGTTTTCGATCTAGAAAAATTCTTCAAATAAAGAATCTGAAATATTGTCTCTCAAATCTAAAATAACTGAATTAGAATGTAAGTTAGCTTTAAATATTAGTGAATTAGAGTGTTTGAAATCTAAAGATATGTCAGTATCTATAGTTGGTAGAAATAATGAAAAAAATATAACCAAGTCTAACGATATATCTGCAGTTAATGAATCTAGCAAAAATCTCAGCCAATATTTTATACACAGAAAAAGTATAGATCAAGTTAGAAAAATCAATGCTAATATCTCGACATATATCAATAATAAGATTACTGAACTCCCAAAAAATGATACTGAAATTAACTCAAAGGTAAGTAACAAAATCGATATTAGCAAAACTAACAAAGATAATATGCTAGATATATTGATAAAACCCAAAGTATTAGAGGCTATGCCTCAAAATATGACTCCACACTTTACTCAATAAGAAAATATATCCTCTTTGATTGAATCAAATTCCCAGATAAGACCTAGTCTCAAGGCTTCGCCTCTTCTGATAGAAGCAATCCCTATTGTGTCAAGCACTTTGATGTCATCTTTATCAGCATATGTTTTTCTTACCTTGTTAATTATTGCTGTTATATGGTTTATTATATTAAGAAGCATATGAAATATAGATAAAAAAAGTGATTGGCTATAGGATACATGTTTGGATAATCTAGTATTAGAATTTCTAAATATTTTAGTTAATTTTTCTAGACCTGAAGGGACATTGCTTCAAAATAGAAAAAAATATTGAAAATACCAACTTGAAGCATTCTATGACATTGCCTATATCAGCTGATTGTTTATAAACCTGAAAGGGAATCAAAGATTTGATGCTCTGAATCATTGCTCTACAATAATAAGTGAATATCTTATTCATCTTTTCAAGACATAAAGTGTTCTGCTTTGCAGATTCCAATTCCATTTTGATAACAGTTACCAACTTTATATATTAATAAGTTATATAAATAATAAATCAAATAAATAGATTAAATCAAAATAAATATATATATTATACATTATTAACTTGACACATCTCTTTCTGAACCATCCATAATAATTTGTAATGTTAAGTGAGTTCTTAATACTCAAATACATATTCATCTAGATAACAAGACAGCAATTAAAAACTTGAAACAAACTTATAATACTAAACCTTTACAAAACCAAAACTGGGATATTCTATTTATTATCAATCAAATTAAATCTATCAAAAATCTTACTTTCACTCTGTATAAAGTTAAATCACACTCTAACTCTCTATACAATTAGGCAGACCTGCTAGCCAAACAAAAAACAAACAAGTCTATTCTTAGAATATCTTACAATTACATAAACTTACCAATTCACTTCCAATATAAAAACTACTTAATTCTCTTTAAAATTTGAACCTTTATTAGAAACATTTATACTATACAAGAACTATATTCTTGTTCTTCACCCAAAATATTCAAAGACTTATCTAATATATAATGGACTTTATGTTTTGATATTCTAAATTCTCTTAATAACAACTTATCTAAATATTCACTAAGAATTAAAATTCTAACTAACAATTTTCTAACTATAGAAAACTTAAATATTTGATATTCTCACCTATATCCTGCACCAAATTGTACTCACTGTTTCAACTTAGAAGACACATTACACTTACTTTTTTGTCCAAATAATAACATCAATATCCAACAATCTTTAATTATTATAATTACCAACTTACTTGTTTCTCTTAAAATTACAAATACATCTCTAATCACTATCCTTAATATCCTTCTTCGTCTTACACTTAACT